GTACCATTGGCAGGGTGGGTGATGCGGTTTGGGATCCACAGAGTGGGATCCATGGGGTGGGATCTGCTGGGTAGGTGATGTAGGGTGGGATCCACAGGGTAGGATCCCTGGGTATCTGTTTTTCACCCAGAAATGTCTCCTTGGTTAGTGAAGAGCAGGATTTGGGGTGGATCTGCAGTGTGGGATCTGTGGGGTGCGATTTGCAGGGTGGGATCTGCTGGGTGGATAATATGGGGTGGGATCCACTGGGTGGGTGATGTACTGGACACCCCCAGCACACTCCCCTCTCCTCCCTTCTTTTCCCCTGTTTTCAATTTCAACGCGCTTTAGTGAGCAGTTTTATCATGGTGTTGTTTCTTTGGGGGGTTGGTGGGATGATGCTCGTTGATTTGCAGAGAGGAAAAGTTTCTTAGATGGGGATCACCAAATTTAGCTCCTTGCTGTCCCCCCGGCCAAGGCAGAGCCTGTCCTGTGCTCCTGGTTAGGAAGGGTGATGTCAGGCAAGCTGGACCCAGTGGAGACAGGGAAATGCTGCTGGAGCCAAATGAAACACTGACCTTTCCCCCTTTACCAAAAACTGGGGCAATCCCGTGCCCCCAGGGTCTGTGGAAGCCCTGACCCTTTTGGTTTCTGTGCCCCACAGCCCCAGTGAGGAGCCAGGGAGCCCCCAGCAGCACAAGCCCAAACAGGTGAGAAAAAATCCTTCCCCTCCACCCCATGTGCCACCATCCCTGCTGTGGCTGTCCCTGAGGGCTGGGACATCAGAGAACCCCAGAGTCCACCCCAAGGCTGATTTGGGGCTGCAACCCTCCATTGGGGTGCTGCAGCCTGTGAGGGCACGAGATTTTTGGGAACCCCCTCCAGAGCGGGTGGGTCGAGACAATTCCACAGCCCTCCCTTCTTTGTGCATCCTTCTGAACCCCCCTCCATCACTCTGAGGCACCCCAAGAGGAGGGTTCCTGGTTCTTAGATAACAGTTTAATTAAGCCCCTCAGTTAAGCTGTAAACTGTGACTCACTTTCCCCAGGCCGTGACCCTGAAACCAGACCCCCCCTTCCCTGCATTTCAGAGCAGCCCCCAGGTGCCCCCCAGCCTTGGGAGGGTCTCAGCAGCAATTTCAGCCCCCACCCAATTTAATTTTTAATCAGCAGCTCCTCCTGGAAGGGCTTTGTTAAGTAAGGGAGTGGTTGCCCACCCTGCAGCTTCTTAAGGGATTAGGGGGTGCAAAGGAGATTTTCTGTGTGAGCTCATGACACGGAAGAAAGCAGCCAGTTCCCAGCTCCACCATGGAGCCCCCAGCTCCCCCTCCCCAAATTCACAGCCCTGGGATATCACAGGGACTCATCAGGATCCCACTTTTTGCAAAACACCTTCACACATTGCCCGGGGAGAAGCAGGGCAGGACTGATTTCCTGCAGGGGGAAGATGCTCTGCTGGGCAGTGGAAGGCTCAGTGCACCTGGATTTGCTGAGATCACTTTCTGAGAGCCCTGAGCTGGCACCCACTCCCCAAACACCTCCTCCCCAGAGCCAGGTGCTGACCCACATGCTCTGTGTTTGGTAAATCTGGGTTATTTATAGCCCCAGCTCACCAGGATTAGGTGCGCTGTGCCTAATCCTCCTGCTTCCCTGCTCCTGCTGACCTCCTTGTGGTCCACAGGAGCCGCTGGTGGGTGTGAGAGCTGCTGGAGGTGAGAGCCCAGCCTGCCTGCCCCTCCCTGTGTCCCCTGGCCCAGCTCAGGTGCCCAGTGAGGCCACCAGTGCCAGAGGGCCACCAGTGTCCCCATGGCCACAGTGAGATTTGTCCCTCTGTGCTGGCACAGCAGCACCATCATCACCTCCCTCACCTCCAGGGCTGTCCCAGGGCTGTCCCAGGGCAGATGTTCTGTCTGTCTGTCTGTCTGTCTGCTAACAGACCTTTCTGTTTCCCTCCCTCTGCCTTCCTTGGGGGGCTGCCCATGGTAAGTCACATTTGGAAGGTGTCAGTGTGTCTGTCCCTGCTCCCGTGCTGGGCCAAGGGAAAGCCTGGCTGTATTTCTGAAAGGAACCCAGTGCTGATTGAGCAGGGGTTCCCTGTAAAGGGAAAAGGAGTTTAAGGCTGGCACCACCCCTGCAGCACCGTCCGTGAGGGCAGAAGCTGAAGAAGAAGAGGCAGGAGCCCGGGCTGGAGCCCGAGGCCAAACCACGGCGGCCGAGGCTGAAGAAGCCGAATGAGGCTGCAGAGGAGGCTCCAGCCCCGGCACAGGGTGAGCACAAATCCCCCACAGAAATGGGGGAAATGGGGGGAATTGGGGTGCCCCACCCTGCACCTGAGGCCCTCTCCATCACGGGCATCTCTTCAAATGCGCAGGGGTGAAGAAGGTGAGGAAGAAGAAGGAGGAGAAGGGGGAGGAGGAAAGCGACAAGGACCCCTCCTCCAAATTCCCCAAGGAGCCTCGGAAGAAGAAGGAAAGCCTGGCTGCGCGCTCCCAGGTGGCCAAGGGCTCCAAGAAGCCACAAGGTGCGGGGGCAACACCCAACTCTGCAGGCACTCGCTCGGGTCCCTTCGTGTCCCTTTGTACCATGTCCCGACAGCGCTGTCGGTGTTCCCAGTGCCCGCTGGAGCTCCTGCTGCAGCTTCTGCGGGGGTTCTGCCCATCCCCGGCAGAGTTTTTTGCCTAAAACCCAGCTACGGACCTGGGACAAACGGGGATGCTGCGCTCATTGCCCTGGTCTGGGAGTTGGGATGGAGGGGGACGGTGGGCACAGGGGATGTCACGCTCTCTGGGTGGGTGACACTGAACTCCCCGGACGCTCCTCGGGAGCGAAAAGCGGCTCGGAT